CCCAGCCAGCCATGCTGGCTGGGGAATTCTGGGAGTTGAAGTCCACACATCTTCAAGTTGCCAAGGTTGGGAAATACTGCTTTACAAGATTGCTGTAGGAAAAAAATAGGAGGGAGGGTTATGTATGCTGCCAAATGAAGAAAGGGGGGAAGTATATCCAGCAGATGAATAGTCAAGAAGCTGACTGTCCTGTTCCCCCACAAACTTCCATACAGAAAACTAACACGGCAGCAAGAATTTCCAGAGTAGAAGCTTCCCTTTGGTGTGATTCATTTTTACATGCAGGGAGGGGTCTTGCCCCTAGCAGAAGGCATGGAAAAACACATTCCCCTGCCTGCAGTCCATAAATGATTCTCCCTCTCTTTGGCTGTAGCTTTTTCAGTTTATTGAAGAGTGTGTTCAGAGAAAGTGCACGGGGAGGCATATTGCGTGGCGTGCCCGAAGCGGTTTGCAGCTGCAGCACCAGCGTTCTCCTCCTGTTCCCACGCTCTTTCTTTTCTCCATCAGGTGCGGACCGCAGTTGCCCGTGGCGACATCGTATCGGCCGAAATTGCCTCCCGGGAGGCCCGCAACTTCTCCTTCATCAGCCTGGCGGTGGGCATTGCCGCCATGGTCCTGTGCACCATCCTCACAGTGGTGATCATCATCGCCGCTCAGCACCATGACAACGACTGGGACCCCTAGCGACCAATCACCTTTCTTTGGCCTACTCCCGTACCCTGACAACTGGTCACAACCGCCCTGGCAACAGCCGTCCTCGGGGATGGTCCTTGGCAACCGCCTCCCCTCCTCCTCCCCCGTCTTTGCCCTGGCCGACGACACTCGGAATGCTTGGCAACCCGTCTCCGCCCACTCCCCACCCACTCCCATCATCCCTGGCTGTTGTTGGCCTTGCTAGCCGTACCAACTCAGCAAATGACTTCCAGGCGATGCCATTCAGACGTGCTCCATAAGCTAAGGCTCCTAGCAAAATGCTTGCCCTCCCGTCCGTTCCTTCCCAGAATACGTTGCTTGCTTCTTTCCTTCCTGAGGAGTAGGCTCCGCCTTCTGTGACCAAGCGATTACCATCTTCCTCCCGCTGTGTTTGCATGCCTAGTGCTGCCCTTCTATGGACCGGGGCACCAGCGCAGTCTTGGTGAAGCCCTGTCTCTCTGCCCCCAGCATTGCTGTTTTTGCAAGTTTAAATTCTGCACCTCGTAGTGCTGGCCACTCTCGTCCCCTCCCCTCCATATCATCTCCTGCCCTCTTTTCTCTGTGGGCACTCCGTCTTTACAATAGCTAGAGGTACCCAATATTTGGAGAGCCCGATTGGCTATCTCCTTGTTTTATTTTTATTTTAGGGGTGAAAGGAACCATCGCTTCCGAACCAAGTGAAACAATTCCTGTCTGTAATTACAGGAAGGCATATATTTTCATACACTGTTTAGAGATGTTGCATTCGGTAAGCACGTAAAGCAGTGTTTCTCAACCTTGGCAACTTGAAGATGTGTGGACTTGTGGACTGAAGATGTGGCAACTTGAAGATGTGTGGACCCATGCTGGCTGGGGAATTCCGGGAGTTGAAGTCCACACATCTTCAAGTTGCCAAGGTTGAGAAACATGTAAGGAATAATCCACAGCCTGTTTAAAAAAACTTCCATTTTGTAGGGCTTAAAACATCATTCTTTTTATACCCTTCATTTCACACCACTGTTCTTCATTTCTTCCTTGGAGAAGACTGTGAAAGTTATTTTTTAACTCTGTACTTAGTTTGATTCCTTCCCATCTGGTTCCAAGTTCTGCAATCCATGTTCTTATGTTATCCTCACAACATTCTTAGCAGATGGGCTTGTAGAGTTTTGTTGCTTTTTAGACTTTTATTCAGACAGCCAACTCTTTTGCTATGAGGTGATACCCAGGCTGAATGATGCAAAGCCACATTAAAGTAAACTTGAAAGGAAGGAAGGGAGGGAGGGAGGGAGGGAGGGAGAAGGGAGGAAAGAGAGGAGGGAGGGAAGGAAGGAAGGAAGGAGGGAGAAGGGAGGAAGGAAAAGAAAGCAGATGGGAGGGGAAGCAAGGAAGCAAGGAAGCAAGGAAGGAAGGAAGGGTGAAGGGGGAAATACATTACAGTAATAAGAATTGCTAGACAGCAGCCAGCAAAATACCATAAGAAAACATTGCAAGATCCTTTCTAAAAAGACAGGGTGAGAGGGTGAAAAGTAACCGGAGGAGGAAAGATGTAGCAAAAGATCCAACTCTCCACTGATAGGGGAGTCCAACAGGGCCCTTTCCAGTAAGCAGGTAATGTCCAGCCAAGAGGAAAATCCAGAGAAAGTTTCCAGGGAAGATGTTTTCACAGCATCATATCTGAAATAAAGGAGTGAAGGAGTGACGTCTGGTCTGAATGTGGTGGTGAGACAATAGGATGGACTATACCCTTACAGATCAAAGGAGTGTAAATAATTTTTTTTTCTCCCCTACTTTAAATATTACCCAGCGGGTAGAACCAAGGTAGTACATTAGACAACTGGGTTTAGACAAGGTTTAGGTCCCTACTTGGCTACAACGCTGACTTGTATGATCATCTCTCACCCTAACCTACCTCAGGCTTAGTTAAAAAAATATAATAAATAGAACAGCATGGTAGTTGGCCAAGAGAAGGAGTGAGCTATTTTAGCTATTGCTGTAGCTAGCTTTCCAGGGAGAGGTTTGGGAAAAATATTTAAAATTGCAACCCACACCTATGGTCTGTAATCAAACCATGGTCTGTAATCCACCACTTCGGGGATGTACAAACTGACTCTTGGAGACATTCTGTATGATCCACTAGATATGGATATCTTACCTTATAGTTTCTGTCTGGAAGTGAATGTAAGATATTTTTGAATACTCTTTTCTATGAACGTCCCTGCAGGTAGTAAATTAGCAGAGAAGAGAGACCGATGCTGTCTTTTTGAGGTGCTAGTTTATTACATGCAAGTAGTTTGATATCAACAGGGGAGAACAATTTACAAAAACAACTCCTCTGATTTACAAATGGACATGACACAATTCAGACTTCGACACGCCTCATTCTGTGTAACAAGTAGATCAACTCTTAAGTTGCATTGACCAAAAAGGTTGGATGGTTTAATGGGCACTCAAAACTGTATGTTTCAGGGATCAGGCTATGGGGAGGCTTCCATGTAGAAAAGTTTTGCGTTATTTCTCACTTTTAAGGCCTCCCGTCGTCTCTCATCTGTGCCAAATCTCATGTTGTCATATGAATTCATTCCCATTCATTCCCTCCTTTTTTTTTTCCCTTCGATGTTGGACTCTATATTCTATCTCTGTTTGCAAGTGACATGGTTACAGAATCTCTGTTAATTAATAAAGACACTTGATTGATTGCCAGCATCCTACGTAATTGTATTTAAACCCCATTGTGCCCCCGAATGGGTTTGTGGGCCATTTGTCGGAAGAGGTAGGGCCTTTCTACCCCATTACAACATCCTCACTGTTTTTTTCTTTCCTGCTTCTGGCTGATTTCAACTCCTGCATTGACATCCAGATGGATGCAAGCGAGCGGAAGGTTCAACCTCCCTTCCCTCACCCCAATCAATCTTTTCTCACCTCCTCCCCCACTTTCCCCCCCTTTGGCTTAGCATCCCCAATCCGAGTTTCCCAAGTTCTGCGGTCTCTTAGGAGATGGTTGCTTGGAAACCGCAAAAAGGGATATGTATGGATTCAAAGCAATCGCTGGGCACGTGACAGCCCGAGGAGAGCATGGAGGGAACTGGGAAAACCTATAATAATAGTTAAGGAGAACAGGAGATTTTGGCTTTGCTTCACTACGGCAGAATCTCCTGCTGAGTATCTTGCCCGCAAGGTTTCCTTTTAATATGGATTTTATATATTAAGATTCCTTCCTCCCCGTGCAAGCAAGTGCCACTCCCAAAATTCTGCTTTCGGTATAAATTTGCACATACTTTGCTACTTCGCTTTGGTTTCCAGCATGCAGGTTTTCAAAATAGCATTTTTTTAAAGATTTTTTTTTTATCCAGCCTTTATTATTTTTATAAATAACTCAAGATGGTTTCGGTTTCTCCCCTCCTTCCCCAAAATGGCATGAAGAGTAAGCTTTAATGGGCTACAAAAACGAGATTCAAAGCAGCCCTGAAGATGCTGCTTCTTTACTGAAAATGGAGTCATTTAGTCTAATTTGTCTAACTGTGGGAGGACCCCAAATACCCATCAAACTTGGAAGCCTTATCCGCAATGAACGTCCTTCTTTTCTGCTGTTCCTCTGATTTTATGAAAGCAGTGTGTTTTCTTGCTAATCTGCACAACTGAAATGATTAGAAATTTGTCTTGAAAAAACTTGGCATTAATATAAAGTCTAATACCTTGAGGATAGTGGCTTCTGTGCAAACTCTCAAATAAAATTCCTTGTTTGGACTTGTACAGTGTGATCCTAGAATCACAACATACGTCAAGCTTTGAGCCCGAGTTGTGGAGAAGGAATATGGGAATTGTCATCTATTTTATCTGCGGTACTTCCAATTGTCTCATAAAGGTCCCTTGAATTGCTGAGATTCCACTAAGTACAACCCACATATTTCTCATGAGGATTAAACAGGTGCTTATTTTAACACCATAGGAACTGGAGCGCCAAGGGCCAATTTCATATTTTTATTTAGCGAGCCTGTGTGATAGCATGTGATGTATTCAGTCTAATTTTCCATACGTAAGAAAGTCAGAGGGATAAAGCAAATGGTGTTGGATTGGCTGCAAAGACACCGAAGCCTAAATCCTTCTCAGCCACAAATTTCACAGTGCCATGCACCGGCTCTTTCTCTTTCCGGTTGCCCACCTGAATACAATGAAAATGCGATCCACAAATGCTGACACAGTAAAATTATTTTATTCAGGCAAACATTTTCTGCATGGCCTGAGCCAATCTAGCATCTCGTGCCCGGATCCGCTCGGTAACCCTTTCTAGTTCCCGGCGAGCCGCTCGGTTTCCTGGCTCGACCCGCAAAACTCCCTTGAGATCTTGGGCTGCCCCCTCCAAGTCGTTCATGGCATCGTAAGCCAGGCCTCGACGAAACAGGGCCTTGGTGTTGGCCGGCTGGAGCACCAGAGTCTTGGAACAGTTGCGAGCCGCGTTGGCCGGCTGGTGCAGCCGTAGCTGACAGGCGGCCAAGTTGGTGTGAAGCTCCGCCTTGATCTGGTCGTAATCTGGGGGAGGAGCAGCCACCACGAGCAGGCGCAAGGCCCTAGCGTAGCGCCTGGCCGCCGCGCCAATGGCTCCTGCCCTGTACAGCTCGCTTCCATGCTCTTTATTGCTGAGAACCAAGTCCCACTTTTCACTTGCGCTCATCTCCCACGAGTCTTTGGCCTCAGTGAAGTTTGCCAGCTGGACGGTGATGGTGCCGCCTCCTGTCAACCTCAGTTCCGCCTGTTCCCCTGCCAGCATGGTTTCCAGACCACAGTCCACCACACTGTCCCACTCGGCATCGCCCCCGCCCAGCTCCACTTCAGCCCACCTGCAGGATGGGTAGCTCAAGGGCCCTTCAGAACTGGCCTCAATGAAGACCTGGCAGATGGACCCTTCCTTTGGTTTATCTAAACCTGTCCCAGCCTTCAGAACCAGCTTGACAAACGTGCCGTCTGGGCAAGCCCAACACACCCCTGGCTGGGACTGGATGGGAGGGGGCTGGTTCTCTTTTACCTTGTCCCCAAGGTCCTTTTTTCCATTTCCAAGGGATGCATCTTGGATGTTTTTGTCACAGCTGGAGGATCTCTGGTCTGGCTTCTTGCCCTCTTCCCGTTCTCCAGCAGTCTGGCTCTTCGGACAACCCAACTCTGAACTTGCCATCCCTTTCTCCT